TTGGTCTCCAAACAACTCCATCTCCTAGAATTTCATCCTGAATAGCTGTTAATGGTTGTATACTTCCACCAACTTTTATAGTTTTACTTAAATTGACTTCAATAGAATTCAAATGACAAGCACAAGTTTGACACTTTTGTCGAATTGCTCTACTTAAATCAGATCGTTTCATAATTTCATTAATTGAAATTATAGCATTAACTGTTAGATTTCTCCATCTAATACAATCGTCTATATCTAAATCGTTCGAATGGTTATAAGCTTTCCATAAATTTTTAATTGTTTCTTCAAAATAGGCAATAGAAGTCATGTTGTTAGTTATCTAGTTTTTATTGTCTTGTACAGTCACTTGTCTATAGTTGTATAAAGGATTATTATGATGAAAGGATGGAAAAGGTAGTGAACAGCTCTAAATTGAACTTGTTCTCAGTTGGTAATGAATATTGATTTGTTTAACAAATCAATAAGGATTCAACTAACTACTGAGGAACTACTTGCAAATGGCGTAAGGTAAGGCAAGCTTAGCTCGCAGGCTGTCTCGAGAGACTGCGCTCTTCTGCTAGGCCAAAGCGGCTTTTAAAGGTTAAGTGAGGGCGCTGTCAGCAAACTGAGGGCGCTGCCAGCAAACTGAGGGCGCTGCCTACAATCAGAATAAAAATATAGTCATTATTGCTTTGAGATACGATTCAGCTCACATATTATAGAGAATAATGGGATTTATACTCTAAGATGGACTATATTTTAGATATTCAAGGCTTTCAGAGTCCTAATAATACTTTTATTTGTAAGGAGTTTGCCTATTTACCAGTATGTTCTAATACTTCACCTACAGTACTACTTTTTAAACCTCCATATTATTAGCTCAAACTGTCTATTGAATATCAAAGTGTTAATAAGTGGTTGGAATTACATCATCATGGTATTTATTTTTATTATCGTTAATTAACATTGATTTTATTTGAAATATTTAATATAATCAATTTTATAGGTATATTATGGAGAAATGGTATTTTACCATATAATTTTTTAAATTGTACTATACGCAGTCATTTACATAATTGTAGAAATATTTATGTGAAAGGATTATAAAAGAAGCAATGGCTCAAAAAAAATTATTCCTGAATAGTAGGTTCAAATAATATACAATAGTACAAAATTCTAAATTCGACTTTAATTAGTTTTTTTTTTAATTACAGAAATATTTTAGATATCGCAACTGAAATGAGATGTCCGCGATTGGAAGATTTAAGTCTTTAATTTAAACCATCATGCATATATCATAGTCAAAATCGCGAGAATATAGTATGTGCTGCAGTAAATAAACAAAAGATACACGATTGGATGATGGAAAGACAAAAACAAGCAAATTCAAAAGGGATCGATACAGTCGAAAGATTTACAGATGACTATAATTCATATAAAAATTCAACTGAATATTTAAAAATAGCTATGTCAGACACTGAACATAAAGATTATAGACAAAGTGTACTCTATTCAATGTATAATTAAAAATAATAAATATTAAATAAATAATAAATGTGTACTTATTTAAATAGTAAAATAATCATAACGATTGTAAGAAAGGGTGAACGGATGGGAATAAGGTTCTCTCCTAGCAGAGATGTTTAGGAGGAACATCTCAAGGAGGTGTCAGTCGAGCGACTGCATTCGTAGTCTCTAGCATTCTCACGAAAACAGTTCCCTTCGTGGAGAGAGCACGTATTGACTATAGACAGCATACGCTCACATCCGCGCACCGTGGTCCACGTTTAGCTAGAGCGTAGGAGAGAGAGAGAGAGAGAGAGAGAGAGAGAGAGAGAGAGAGAGAGAGAGAGAAAGAGAGAGAGAGAGCGCACGTTTACTACTATTATAGTAGCGCATCCCCATCAGGCCAGAACTATAGACAGCATGCGCTCCCCTCCTCCTCCACGCACTGTGGTCCACGCTGAGTCAGAGCGTAGGAGAGAGAGAGAGAAAGAAAGAGAGAGCATACGTTCACTACTATAGTAGCGCATCCCTATCAGGCCAGAACTATAGATAGCATGCGCTCCCCTCCTCCTCCGCACGCTCAGGCCCTATACCAAATGTATGCGTGTGTAGCTAATATACACAATATGTATCCTCTAAGGTACATGTGGCATTGGCTCTAGTGGTAGAACGCTAGCCTGCCAACCCAGAAGACTTCGGTTCGATTCTCCTGTCTGTCTCTTCATTTTTTTCAAAAAATCGTCGCTATTTTCTATTCGTTTCATTCTCAATGTAGCAAGTAAATTGTTAATAATATATATTTATAACTTAAAAAAAAAAACATTTAAATGTAATTATACTGAAAGCACTAGATATAGGGTCCCTAGGGTCTAGGAGCCTTAGGGACTAGGAGCCCTAGAAACCTTCCTCAAAAATTATAAACAATTATTAACATTAATAATAATAATTAACATGGAAGGGATAGAGGCCAGGGAATCAAAGGGTTAAACCAAGGGATCCCCACGAATATTGTTATTAATAATTGTTAACAATAATAATTATTATTAACATGAAAGGGTTAAGCCAGGGGGGGCAAAGGGTTAAGCCCGGTGGGGTCAAAGGTTTACAGACTCCCCGCAGGTGTGCTGGAACATACATTGCTATACTACTCACCGGCCCCGCTGTTCAGCCTCAAGGATTTAGTTGAGGGGTATCCTGCCAGAACTTCTTGGCTGCCTTTGCCTCGGCAGAGATGAAAGTATGCTGAACTCGTGTCCTAGTGTTTCTCGGTACTGCCTCCAGAGAGTATCTTGAGTAGCTCGGATAAATAAATATTCTCCAGCATCTCTCTACCCTTTCTTCGGGCTCTCTCTCTCTCTGGCTTCTTTCTTGACATTCTCTCTGGCTTTTCTCTGGACTCTCCCTGTGGCTTCTTTCTTGTCATTCTCTCTGACTTCTCTCCGGATTCTCGCGAATTCTCTCGCTGAAGAATCCGCCGATCAACCCCCTCTTCGCCCATTAGTCGCTTTCTCTCTCTCTCTCTCTGCTCTTCTTGCTCTCGCCCTCATCTCGAGCCCCCTTCCTCCAGCCGCGCTCACATCTTCTAGTCCCTGCAATAAACCAAGTGTAAATGCCATGTTGCCACAGCTACGCTTGGTCCCTGCGTCCATGCCAAGAGAGTTCCGCACACAGGGCCAGTGATTATCACTGTTCGCCCTGTCACAAATATCATTCGCTTTCGGTTGCTCGATAGAACCGATGAACAACTCTTTCATTCTCCTCTCACTCTCACTCTCCCTCTCTCTCTCTCTCTCTCTCTCTCTCTCTCTCTCTCTCTCTCTCTCTCTCTCTCTCTCTCTCTTTCTGTCTCTGACTCTTCTTTGGCTTACTTATCAACACCATTTTAACCCTTTTCCTCCCAAATAACATAAATTTTTTCTTAACTTTCATCCTCATATCTTTTAATGAAAAAATCGTATGAAAAATTTATCAAGCATCACATCTTGTAGATTTTGACCTCCTCTTTCGAATGCCATTGACAAAATTTACTTAAATTGTAAGCCGGAAACGTTATAGGCCGGTTTTCCGGAAAAATCACAAATTTGTCGCGTTTTTTTTTCTAAAAAAAGTATATTTTGAAATGGAGAAACTTTGCACACACCATTGGAAACACTGTTATCAGTGTTATTGATGTCTTTTCTTTCAAATGCCGTTGGATTTTTTCCGAAATTTAAAATGGCGAACACAAAATGGCGTTCGAAAGAAAAATTTTTTTTTAAACTTGACGAATTTTTTCCTCCAAAACTATCAAGTTTAGTGAAAAATTTCGAAGAACAAAAATGTCTTAAAATTAGTCAAGAAATACTCTCAAATTTTTTTAGATTTTTTTACAACGAATTTGGAAATTTCGATTTTCCGATTTTCCACGAATTCAAAAATTAACTCTCTCGTCTAAAGTCATATCGCGTCGCGATCAGGAAAATCGACTTTTAGCGAGGGTAGCAAAAAAAAATAATTGTTAGACTTGAAATTTTTTAAAATTTTGTGAAACCAATGTGAAAAAAATGTCTACTAGGAATAAAATTGATTAATTTTTTACTCAAAAACTATTGACTCAATAAAAAAATTCATAATAACAAAAGAGTCTTAAAATTCACCAAGGAGTTCTCTCAATTTTTTTCAGAATTTTCCGAGTTAATTTTCGAATTCGTGGAAAATCAGAAAATAGAATTTTCCAAATTCGCTGTAAAAAAATCTAAAAAAATTTGAGAGTATTTCTTGACTAATTTTAAGACATTTTTGTTCTTCGAAATTTTTCACTAAACTTGATAGTTTTGGAGGAAAAAATTCGTCAAGTTTAAAAAAAAAATTTTTCTTTCGAACGCCATTTTGTGTTCGCCATTTTAAATTTCGGAAAAAATCCAACGGCATTTGAAAGAAAAGACATCAATAACACTGATAACAGTGTTTCCAATGGTGTGTGCAAAGTTTTTCCATTTCAAAATATACTTTTTTTAGAAAAAAAAACGCGACAAATTTGTGATTTTTCCGGAAAACCGGCCTATAACGTTTCCGGCTTACAATTTAAGTAAATTTTATCAACGGCATTCGAAAGAGGAGGTCAAAATCTACAAGATATGATGCTTGATAAATTTTTCATACGATTTTTTCATTAAAAGATATGAGGATGAAAGTTAAGAAAAAATTTATGTTATTTGGGAGGAAAAGGGTTAAAACAAAGAGAAAAGTAAGCACGAGAGCAGGAAAATAATTACACTTATCCATAGCTTGGTGGCGGCATGCATATCAGCACAAAGAATATTTTTTCCTATAATAATGTTAAAAAATTATTGCAATAATCTATATTTTAATATAATTAGATTTTATAAGATTTATAATTTTAATATTTAATTTAATAATATATTATTATTACTATATAGTTATCATATAATTATTTTAGTTATATATTCTTTCCTATATATCGATTTGAGCGTAAATATTTATTAGTAGGAATGTAATAAAGAATTACATACCAGCAGGAGTTTCTTCATTCCAAAATGAATCATCCAGAGTATAGTCTGCTTCTGCAAATAGAAAAATTTATAATATTGCATTATAATTATTAGCATGGCTAATAGAATGACTATCAATGCAAGTAGTGAAAAATAAGATATTATCGTTATATCATGAATTGATCAAAAATAAAAGTATCTGGAATAATAATATTCCAATCCATTCCTTACATAATATCAATAGTCTGTCGTATCAAATGATTAAGCAATCATTTATTGCATTGTTTTATAAAGTTATAAAATTGTTATCGACACTGTCAATGATAATATGCAGAGTAACAATACTCCAGAAAAAAATATGTTATTATATATACGAGGTGTGTTCAAAAAGTAAGGTGACTTTGTATTTTTAAGAAAAAATATTTATTTATTTATCAATATTTATGTTGTCCCCTTCAAAGTAATCCCCCTCAGATACAATACACTTATGCCAACGGTTTTTCCAATCCTCAAAGCACTTCTCATAAGCACTTTTCGGTATAGCCTTGACCTCTTCCAGCGATGTAGTCTTTATCTCTTCAATCGTTGCAAATCTCCGTCCTTTCATACTATATGTCTCTTTAGTTTTGGGAACAAAAAAAAGTCACATGGGGCCATATCCGGTGAATATGGTGGCTGAGGCATGATTGTGGTGTTGTTTTTGGCCAAAAAATCTCTCACAAGCAAAGATGAGTAAGCAGGGGCATTATCGTAATGCAAAAGCCATGAATTGTTTTTCCACAATTCTGGCCGTTCTCTTCGTATTGCTTCTCGCAAACGGCGCATAACTTCAAGATAATACTGTTTATTGACCGTACGTCCATGTAGTAAGAACTCCTGATGCACCACGCCATGGTAATCGAAGAAAACAGTGAGCAAAACTTTGACATTTGATCGAACTTGGCGTGCTTTTTTCAGTCTTGGCTCATCTGGGCTCTTCCATTGGGACGATTGGACTTTGGTTTCGATATCATAACCATATACCCATGATTCGTCACTAGTTACGACCCTTTTGAGTAAATCTGGGTCGTCGTTGACGTCATTCAACAGTTCTTGAGCGATGCTCATGCGACGGTTCTTTTGGTCAAAATTTAGCAATTTCGGAACAAACTTCGCTGACACACGTCTCATGCCCAAAACGTTAGAAAAAATTTCATGGCACGAGCCAAGCGATATACCAACATCCTCAGCATCGTGCACTGTTTAATATATGACATACGTGATTTTATGAAGTCAACCTGAAAGATACCTGACTTTGTTTTTTAAAAATAGCCATGTCTGTTAGGTATTTTTGAAATTGTAACGTCTTTACCAATTTACATTTTAATTGAATTAATCTACAATGAATACGGTGGGGGTTACGAGGTGTGTTCAAAAAGTAAGGTGACGTTTCAAATTTCACGGGCAACGTACTTTCGATTATCGATTATTTTGTTTTGTTATGTTGGTACACTCTTCCCGAACATCTGTACCAAGTTTCAAGTGTATAGCATTTTTTGTTTGGTTGTGAGAGGCGTAAAGGTTATAAGACCGGATCTATTTCAGATCGGGCAGGCCTACGGCAATGATATCTCCGATTGACTCGGCTGTGGAGTATGTTATTCTACTTCAAAAATAAGCCGACACGTATTTTTTTTTTTTCGATTAGACCTCTACATCATTTTTTACGAGTATTTTAAAAAAGTGGTTAATAAATAAATTTTGTAAAAATCAAATATTAAAATTAAAAAAAATGCTCTATATTTTCTAATTTTTTTACTTAATATGTTATTTATAGCTTATTTTACTGTATTTCTTTCATTTTATTTTACTCCTTCGAATGCGCCATGCAGAATAAAAAAATATTGAAAATTGGCGGGAAAAACTCAATTTTTCGAAAAAATTTCAAACTCAATTTTCTCAAAAAAGCCATCGTTTTTTTTTTTCAAATTTTTATGATAGATTAAGCATTACAAGACCTTTAAATTGGTATAGGAGTGATCGCGTACTTTTACGTTTTAGTGATAAAATATCGATTTTTCGTTTTTTTTTTTGCCCAAAACATTCATAATTATAGTTTTAACATGTGAAACGTGTTTATATATATACATATATATATATATATATATTTATATATACATCCATATATACATATACAAGAATTGTACGTTTGATAGTAGTCTTGCGATTTTGATAGAATTACATTCCTTCAATCTAATTATCAATGTTTTGGGCAAAAAAGAAACGAAAAATCGATATTTTATCACTAAAACGTAAAAGTACGCGATCACTCCTATACCAATTTAAAGGTCTTGTAATGCTTAATCTATCATAAAAATTTGAAAAAAAAAACGATGGCTTTTTTGAGAAAATTGAGTTTGAAATTTTTTCGAAAAATTGAGTTTTTCCCGCCAATTTTCAATATTTTTTTATTCTGCATGGCGCATTCGAAAGAGTATAAGAAATACAGTAAAATAAGCTATAAATAACATATTAAGTAAAAAAATTAGAAAATATAGAGCATTCTTTTAAATTTTAATATTTGATTTTTAGAAAATTTATTTTTTAACCACTTTTTTAAAATACTCGTAAAAAATGATGTAGAGGTCTAATCGAAAAAAAAAAAATACGTGTCGGCTTATTTTTGAAGTAGAATAACATACTCCACAGCCGAGTCAATCGGAGATATCATTGCCGTAGGCCTGCCCGATCTGAAATAGATCCGGTCTTATAACCTTTACGCCTCTCACAACCAAACAAAAAATGCTATACACTTGAAACTTGGTACAGATGTTCGGGAAGAGTGTACCAACATAACAAAACAAAATAATCGATAATCGAAAGTACGTTGCCCGTGAAATTTGAAACGTCACCTTACTTTTTGAACACACCTCGTAACCCCCACCGTATTCATTGTAGATTAATTCAATTAAAATGTAAATTGGTAAAGACGTTACAATTTCAAAAATACCTAACAGACATGGCTATTTTTAAAAAACAAAGTCAGGTATCTTTCAGGTTGACTTCATAAAATCACGTATGTCATATATTAAACAGTGCACGATGCTTTGAAATAAAAAATTATGCTAATTTAGTGGTGAATTTAGAATATAATCCTAAACAGTTTTCGAAACCTTCCTACAGAGAAAAATGCTTGTTTAAAAAATGATAAATAATTATAAATGTGTCTACCATATGATATAAATACAAATTTTTTAAATTCAATATATCTTTACAAGAACTCAGTGTATTGTTAAACACATATTCAAATATGGAATGAAACTAAAATTTTTATAATCAAAGATATACTTTTTTGCACGATGATTATTATCAATATACTAGAAAAAAATGAAGTTTGAACAATTAATTGTATATAGTATTATAAAAATATAATAAAAAAATCGTAGAAAACTTATAGTAATACTCTTTTGATACATAACTATACTAAACATTTTTATGATTAAAATATAATAAACATTGGTAGAGAAAGGTAGCTTGATAAAATTTGTATAAAATCAACTTATAGGTAAGTCTGAAAATAGTTATTAATACAAGTTGTTAGAATGAAGATGCTGAATACTGCCAGAAGAACTGTCAGAGGTACAAGATTGAGATGATTCATTTTCTAGGTTTTTAAATAATTTTTGAAAATATTTCCTAATACTCCTTACGTGGTAGATCAGATATTCAATACCGACTCAATGGTTGAATATTATGCTATCTATAAATATTGTAAAACGTACATTTCTTCGTTGGAACTTATAGATTGTGAAAAATTGTATATACAAATTTTTTTACAATATCTAATATAACAAATAAGTTAATTGGTGTTTTGCGATCAAACATAACGTACGATATTATAATAAAGTAATATGTAGTAAAATTCAAGACAACTCAAAATTTGAGGATATAACAGATGAAATTATTTACTAAAAGTTTGTTGACTCTCTACCTGTCAATGACTGAAAAAATTACGCTACAGCAACTTTTAATACTCATAGATCCATGTTTTTTAATTTTCTAAATACTCTATATGGCCGATTCAAATAGTTATTAATGAATTATCCATAGATTATAGAACTTTGAAGTCCTTACAGGAGTTGGTTCGGCAAACACAAACCTGATGTGAATATTTTTTAAACCACTTTATCGCCTTTTTGAACATTTTAACGATGGATAGCATATGTATAGTTGAACATGAAATTCGTACGATAAAAATATTTGCTATATATTGTTGTGTTGATACTATAGCTCGTTGAATATACAAGGCACAGTTCGATTCAACGACTATTTGGAATGCATGTGCTGCTTGTATCCAACCTATCATATACTGAATAATAATTAATGGAGATAGCATAAAATATTTATTATGTAATGAAATTCTGTACAAAAAAATCCATTTTGGTACAATGTTGTATATGCATGGAAATGTTGAGTCTGATAGGCGATTGTTCGATGCCAAAGAATTATCACGTGTTTTAACACATTTTGATATAGTTAAAGGATTCGTTCCTGATCAAATGCATGCTTGTAGTTTGCGTTCTGGTAAACAATTTTGAGAATACTGAATGATATTAGTTAATATACATCACTTTTTATCTGCTAATGAAAAAACCAGAATTGATATTATTATAGAACAAGTAACAGTTCTGAACTAAATGACTTAATTGTCGAGATGAATTTTTAACTAAAATATTTTAAAAACAAAAAAATGAGAGAATTAAATAATATAGCTTACTTATTTTGTTGTTTTTTCCATACTTAAGGTTACATACACAACATTTGTCACTCTTTGTAGCTGCATTTTTATTTTATTAAAACCTAGCATTACTCGTGATAAAATTGTTCGAGCACACAATAAACTCAGCGCCGGATTAGACTTTTTCGGGGCTCGGGGCTAAATCTTGCAGGGGCCCGTCTTAAGGGCAGCAAAAATCCAAATTTTCGTAAAATGAAGGAAATAAGGGTTTTTTTGTATCGTTGAATTTTTATTATTAAAAACAACTTTTTTACACTAAATATTAACATTTCTATTCTAGTTTCATTATACATTA